GAAAAACAACAATATATATATAAATACATACATATTTATATTTATGCAGAAAAAATTTGTATATTTTACACGTTTGCAACAACTTTATAAGCCAGCGTGCTGAACTGAACTGAATTGTTTGTTTGTGCACAATATAAGCCACTTACAAACAATCAGCGTCGAGAGTTGGCCCATTTCCATTACCACTCTCGTCAGGGCTGTTGGCCCAGTGCCTGCGACTGTGCCTGGTCCTCAACCTGGGTCTGTGCCTGTGCCTGTGCCTGTGCCTCTGCCTGGCTCTCTGCCATGACCCTCTCGACCGCCCACTGTGAACACAATTGCAGCATTGTCTGGCGTATTGTCTATATGTCCCTGGCTCTGTACGTCTGTACGTCTGTCCGTCCGTCTGTCTGTCTGGCCAGCAGTTCGGCTGTATGCTTTTCTGGTAAATAAAACAGGGCCAGAGTGCGAGAGGAAATACCCCAACAGCATCAACAGCAACATCAACATCAGCAGGCATATAAAAACAACAAATTTGGTTATATTCGAGGGCAAATGCTGTGCATATAAATATGACATCAAATTATTGAGATACACGAAAAAGAAATAAAGGAACGGGTTATATAATTCATTTGATGGTTTCGTATTTCACGTTTACAGCCCAACATTCCGATTGTGGCTAAATGAACAGGAAAGGCGTATGAAATTTGATTCGTCAAAGAGTTGATACACTTTCGGAAATATGAACTCAAAGCCGAGCAGAAAATCCAATCCAAACTCCTTTGGTGTTCTTAATAGCAATCCTTATTCGATTTTAAAGATATTTAAAATGATGATTACTTAAATATTTTTTTGTAATATACTTTTTTTTAATATGAATTTATAGTTATTTAGTTTGTAAATGTGAAGACAGGCCATACTTTCATCTAGATATCTATTTGGCTGCATCAAATATAATTAAATGTGTGCTAGCGCTTGCCAAGTTTTATTGGCCGAGTCCTTGCCAAGAGTGTTCATGCAAATAAATATTGAAGAGAAATATGATTATGTTTAGCTTTCAATTTGATTTGATTCGAGCTGTGATTTATGGCAATGCATAGTGAGGCATTCGAAAAGTTTAATTTCATATTAACTCCAACTTCTAATAAATAAATAGATAAATCAATAGATATAGTATACTTAAATGAATGCCCCTCAAAACATAATGTTAATAGCTTTATAATTGTATTCAATTCGTTTGTGCTTGACTGCTACTATTGCAATAGTATTGGTGAGAGAGGCTCAGAGCGTGTACATAGTTGAGCTAAAAATAGTATCCGAATGAGTGTGCGCTTTAGTTGCGCGCTGCTCTGGCTTGCATACTCTCCGAGAGCGAGGGATACAGAAAGCTACTGCCGAGCGTAGGCTCGGCTGCCGCTGAGTCAGAACGAGATGGCAGGCTACAAGAAGAGAACGCGACCAGTGAGAGCGGCAGATTACAGAACACGGCTGTTGCAGTGTAAGAGCGAAAGCTTTGATTCTGATTGGCAAAGAGAACGCAACTTCAAAGAGAGTGTGAAATGGCGCATAGTAAAACGCAGAACAGTTGTAAAAAATGTTAAACTGAAAGGAAATAGAAGGCGATCAAATGATTACATATAAATTAAAGAGTAAGCAATCACAAGTGAACTACATTAGAGCACTTCATTATGATCAAGTGTACATACATAAGTCCCATATAAAAGGCATTCAATTTATCATTGCAAACTCTCAGTGCAACGTGCCTAAAATACTTTAATATTTAAAGCTCTGAGTAGCTCTTAATAGAATCTTTTGCCGAGCTAGCTTGAAAGTAGAGACTATCGCTTTAAGAGCTTAGCAGAATAAGTAATATTGTATAAATAATTATTTGCTTGAAATTGGTCATATAGAATAAAGACTCTTACTCTTCGGCAGCAGTTCGGCATTTTAGAGTAACCAAATATTGAATATACATTTGATTTCACATACATATACATATGCTCGGCCACTTATTGTATCTTTAAACAAGGCGCTGTGATTAATGGTCAGGCTGTCCATTGTGCGTTTGGCATTGTTAGTTGCTGTCATTGTGCGCAGTTATATGTAATAATAATACAACACAACAAAGGCCTCGGCCACAGCCACAGAATTTATCTACAAAATGCAAATTTTCACTTCAATATGCTGCAGCAGGGCACACATATGCTCCACATGTATAAATATGTATATATTATATGGATATATATATGTAGTTATACATATATCATAAATATTTGTTTATTGTGGTTGACACAATAATTATATTTGCTTTGTTTAGTCCAAGCGAAGGCGCAACATTTAACACACTTTTGTGAATTGAATGGAATTCAATTGAGTTGTAATTTTCAATGCATATATATGATTTGTGAGTGTGTGTGCGTGTGCGTGTGAGTGTGCGTGTGTGTGTGTATTTGTGTACCCATATTGATGCCATCTCAATTGCACTCTCTACAGGCGTAATGGTGCCTCGAATGCCCCATCGGAAGCGCTGCGCCCCAATTTGGATGGCAGCCACCATCTGCAGGAGTACACATACAAAAAGATAACAGCTTGCGATGTTTGCTCGCAAATTTTGAGAGGTGCGTATTTGAGTGGAGGCCCGAGTGCCCCGAGTGCCTCGATTGCCTCGAGTGCCTTAAGCTCAACTGATAACTGTATTCGTTCACAGGCCACACTCGTCAGGGCCTGCGCTGTCGCATTTGCAAGCTGAACGCCCATGGAGACTGTGCTCCGAATTTGCCGCGCTGCCAGCCCAAGCAGAAGCTGCTGCGTCGCCAGAAGAGCACCTCCGAGCTGGAGAATCGCGTCGACATCGAGGAAGAAAGTGAGTATTTTCCAAGCATTATAATTACACCACAGCCAACAAAATAAAAACGCGCTCTCGCAAGCTCATCAACGCTCCGCCCCTTTGCCCACAAACAAAAATAAAAACAACAAAATAACACACACTCCCCTCTCTCTATATATATATATATAACTGTTTCTGTCTGCTTGGCTCGCTGCTGTGTGGCCCAATTTTTATTGTACATAAATATATTAACAATTTGTCCCATAGGCATCATGGGTTTTAACAACCTCCTAACTATGCATAAGCAAAGCCATGGAACCCTTGAGTGCTTATGCTTTAAAATGAATTTAAATTTGTTTTTGTTTTTTTTTTTTTTCATTTTGTTTCGTGTTTGGTTTATTGTTTAAGTTTTTTGTTGAATTTGTTCGATTCATTTGTGTTTGGGTATTTTGATTGGCAAGCTGTGTGCGTCCCGATCGATCGAGTTCCTCTGCAAATTGTGCATTTTGTGAACCTTCCGCAAACTCACAAGTGTACGGCATTATTTCCAGCCCATTGCATGACAACTTCTAGACCTGGCAAGGACATCAACAACAACGACACTACGACAACTACGAAAAATTGTAAACTGAAAACAATTGTCATGTTGTATGGTAGCATAACTCCCCCTCTCTCTCTCACTCTCTCTCTCTCTCTCTCTCTATCTCCCTCTCTCTTTCTTTCGCCCACGCTGTGTGTGTATATTGATTTGACTGTGTTGTGGGCAACAGTTGATAACTCACAATGGATTCATGTCAGTCGTGGGACTAACTGATTGCAACGTTTCTGATTTCTGCAGCGATTCGCAAAAAAAAAAAAAAAAGAAAAAAAATTGAAACTTTTTTTGTTTGTATCTTTTTATTTTTATTTTGTATAATATTTTCTGGTTTTTGTGGCAGACCTTAAACTGCATCTATATATAAACACT